ATATGCCAGGCACTGTGCTAGTTACTAGGGACACAGTGATGAGCAATGCAAACATGGTTCCTGCCCTTATGGTTTTTAAAGTTTAATGAGAGTGACAATTAAGCACTTTCAATAAAGCATTTCTTCTTCCTGAAATGGAGAGAATTCCATATATAATTGTTTTAAATTGAGAAAAATAAACTAGTTATTTGTCCCCTTTCACATATTCTTCTAGACACCTTTTTTTTTTTTTTTTCCTTCTGTCTTTGAAAAAGTAACCTTCCTGTTATCCATATACTATTACAGATGGCAAGGCTGGGACTTGGAGTGTGGAGCTAGCCCCAAAAAGGGAGATTTCTAAAGAAATGAAATGTCTTCTGGAAGTACCTGGAAAACTGAATGGTGGTATTCCTCAGGTCCCTGAATGTGGAGATACCTGTGATAAGGAGGGCAGATTGGAAAGGCAGCGAATAAGCTCTTCAGTGGAGAGACCGTTTATCTGTAACGAATGTGGGAAAAGCTTCACTCAGAATTCCATCCTTATTGAGCACCAGAGAACACATACGGGTGAGAAGCCCTATGAATGTGATGAGTGTGGGCGGGCCTTCAGCCAGCGGTCAGGACTGTTTCAGCATCAGAGGCTCCACACAGGGGAGAAGCGCTACCAATGTAGCATTTGTGGCAAAGCCTTCAGCCAGAATGCTGGGCTTTTCCATCACCTCAGAATCCACACTGGGGAAAAACCTTACCAGTGCAATCAGTGCAGTAAAAGTTTTAGTCGACGCTCTGTCCTTATTAAGCATCAGAGAATTCACACCGGAGAGAGACCTTATGAATGTGAAGAATGTGGGAAGAACTTTATTTACCATTGTAACCTCATCCAGCATAGGAAAGTCCACCCTGCAGCAGAATCCAGCTAATACGTTGGAATAGATAGGGCACAACATTTCCCAATGTCACACTACTAGGCCAGGTAGCAGGGGTACTGCTTCTTACTTTATCCCTGAGAGAGCAGTAATCTTTTAATCCTCTGGCTTTGAAAGCTCCAGGGAAAGGTAGTGAAAATGACCTTACTCTTATGCTAAGAGAAGCATAATAATATCTTAAATATATCTGTCAAGTGCTCTGTGGTCAGTGATATCCATAGCTCTGCCACTAATATTGCTTCTTATTTCAACTTCATCATATACTGTAGATCTAGTCTTGCATACACCTGTACAAGAAGTTTTCTTCATGCACTTTAGGAAAACTTGTTCTTTATTATAGTTTTAAAACATTTTTTAAAATGTTCAATGTTTAAAAAGATAGTTAAAAAACTCTTTGCAGCCTGAGTACAAAATAACATCAAAGGCAATTCACTGAGTATTTAAAAATTAATTTAAAATAATTGTAGCATAATGTATAATGTAAATTACCTGACTTCTTTCCTTTCTCATAGGATGTGCTAATATTGCGACCCCTCCTTTGGTTTCCGAGGCGATATCTCTATGGAAGTAGATTGTCCAATCTTCCTTGCAAGGAGTGGCTGGTGGGTTTGAACTGCCAGCCTTCTGGTGAGCAGTCAAATGCCTTACGCACTATACCACCAGAGCTCCTAAAATTATTGTAGCATAATGTATAAAGTAAATTACCTGACTTCTTTCCATTCTCACAGGATATGATAATATGTCTTTTAATCTATAAAAGGGGGCAGATGAATTCTCCCCTATAAATGTTTCTCCCTATAGAGTTTTAGTAACTCAGCATTTAGCCAGGGACCAAGGAATCAAAACAACCAAATATTGTTAGCAGCTAAGTGACTAGTCACAACAAATATTGTTCACAATTTTAAATTTATGAAGAGACATATTTGGCTAAAAATCTGATATCTCATTTCAGATCTTTGTTATTAAAACCCTTTTTGTATTTTTTCTGTGACATATAATAAACATTTTTATTTAATCTTTTGTTATGGGAAATTTCAAACATATTCAAATTAGAGAAAAGAGTATATGACGAGTCTTCCATGTCAAAAACTTTATAACCTCCACACTTGTCAGCATTTTCTTTTGAATACTTCTAAGGTCATACATACAAAAATTGTTTCCATTATACACTAGTTGACTGTTTACAAAGCTTTAAACTAGGCCCAGGAGACAAAGAAATGGAAAGGCTATGGTGAGAACATTCTGGTTCAGAAGACCAAATATACAGTGGATAACTTCAGAATAATAGAAGAGCTATAAGGAATCTGTGCAATCACCTCTGCTTTCCCTTATTTAACAGATAAGGAAATGGAAGCTCTGGGAGGTAATCGTCCAAAATCACACAAGTCATTAATGGCAGAGCTGGAACTAGAACCCTGTCCTCTAATTGCCAGTACAATGATCTTTGTACTAAGCCACACCAAACAGAAATTAAAAATACATACAACATTGAGATTTTGCTGCGTATCTTGATAATCCTTCCCATCTATATGTTTCAATAAATGAATAGCATTATTTACTTTGCAGTGGGATTGAGTTCCAGGAAAGGCCCCGTACACATACACCACTATAACTTACCCCTTATTTGGGTTATTTATTTTGTAGTGATCCTTTATTTTTAACTTAAAAAGTTTAAGTTACTTAGAGGGACTTTTTTTTTTTTTCTTTTTAATTTTATTGTGATTTGGGTGAAAGTTTACAGAGCAAATTCATCTTCCATACAGCAGTTCACATACACTTTGTCTCATGACATTGACTGTAAACTCCAACAATGCAACAGCTCTCTTCCCACTTTTGTTCCACATTGTTCTCCCTCTCTATCCAGGATCTCCTACATCCCTTCCAAGTGGATGACAG